CCTTTTGCTCTTTGAAAGTTTTTTTTTAAATAATAACAAAGCCACATTCCACACTAACATACCAAAAAGGATCAGGTGAAATTAGCGATTTTTCTGAATGCAGTGCTGCTAACATGATCATCTCTTGTGGTTTAAGTGTTCCAGTCAGGAAGTCTTTGTTATAAAGCAGAGATGTTTGGGCAGGCTCTGTGACAGTCCACATCCTTGCTGAGTGGATGGCAGCTGAGAAACCGCACTCCTTAAAGTGAGTCTGCCAAACAGATTTGTCTGGCAAATCAATTTCTCCCAAGACCGAGCTCATTCCTACCATCTCACGGGCAAATGTTTTCTAGAACCCAATTCACGTATGGGGAACATTATAATATTGTTAAAATCATCTGGCTTTCCATTTTAAACACGTCGTCTATCATCTGCGGATGGTTAAAGTACAGACTAGTCCATTGCAATGATCCAGGGAGGAATCCTCAGGCTGCAATTACCAAAAGTATTTCCATGTATTAAACTTCAAAGTGTCGAAAAGTCCAGATCAATATTTGAAATGATTAATTAGCTGCAGCTTGTAGTCAGGCTTTCTAACATATGTGGTGCGCTCCATCAATCATTAACCTACCCCCAGCAGGGAAAAACAACTTGAAACAAATTCCAGACAATCATATCCAATGAATCACAATACGAGACAAACTTACTTCCATCCAACCCTTCCAACCACACTTCAGTTCAGCAAAATTCTTAATCTCAGCCTTCCCACTCTTTGGCTCATTACAATTACCAAGTCCCAAATAGTTACTTTAATGCTCACCCTCTGCCCTTTGGTTTCTCTCAATATACCTGTTTGTGCGTCTCTCTATCTCCAGATATGGAGCATATTGGAAGAATTCACACACAGACTGCCACCTAATGTCATATCTCTGTAAAAGAACAGTGTACCTCGCATCTGTCAAATAACATCATACTAGCACCACCTCCCCAGACCCTGCATTCTACCACACACACATACAATCAATAAATGCCCCTAGGACCTTTCTCCATTCCAAGACAAATGCCCACAGTGATCCCGTCAAACTGTGTCCCCTCTCTCTCCCCCAATACCACATGTGCACCCCCCTCCAAGCCACTACTATAACCCCCCTCCCCCCAAAACACATTCCCAGCTTTGGAGCTTGGTCAGCTCCTATGGGTGGGTCACATTGTCCATGGTGCCCACATGTCTGACAAGGCTCCTGCGATCTACTCCGAGTACTCATACAGTGAGCCAGCCCCAGGAGCGCAAGGAAATTGCCCTAAGGGCACCCTCAAAGCCTCCCAATAAAATGCTGCATCCTTATTAACACCTGCCCTAGGCTGCCCCCAATGATGGGAATGCATCTGCGAAGAATGTATATGCCTTGAGCCTCATCACTGAAAGCAAGCTGAAGTCAACCCTCGACAGAAAATGGTGCATGTGGCAAACCTGAGCCATTCCTAACCCTTATTCCCCCAACCACTGTCTGGCCCTCCCCGTGACAGAGACTATCAGTCGTGCAGTGTACTCTTCAGTCACCTCCAAACACGTTCCAGTGTCCCAACCACGAGGATCTGCCCAAGAAAGACATTCTTCAAAAGCAGCCAACAACTCTCCTGAAACCTCTTTGTTCAAATCTTGTGAATCTTTCTTTTTAGCACAAGGAGCGGATGTCAAATTGCAAACTGCATCAGATAATTATCTCCACAGTTTGCCACAATCAGCCAATTCCATCAGCTCTGCCCCATGCCTTCCCCTGCTCTGCCCCATGCCTTCCCCTGCTCTGCCATCAATTCCAACCCAACCCTCATATGGGCAGGTTCTCCAGGCAGGCTAAGGTTGTTGTTGGGGGCTTCACTAACCTCCCAATGCACCCTCCACTCCCCCTACTCCCTGCCACAAACAACTGGCAGGTAAACGTGTGATATGCTCCTGTATTCCACGTCCTTCAGGCGCAACTGTCATCAAAGCAACTCAGCAACAAGCAACTCTCTTAAACGGTCCTGACAGACAAAAAATGAGCATTATTGCAGGATCCGCTGTTTATTAACACCGGAGTGATAGTGCACTTAGTGCCCGCAGTAATCTCTTGATGATCTATTGCAGGTTATGATCAAAATATTGCAGTTGGAATCATCTGAGCACATGATTAGATCAGCCTAAATTCAATCTTCAGGAATGAGAGAAGCAGGATTAGGGAGTTTTTGAAGGTATGTCCAAAAAACTGGGAACTAAGTGATCTGGTATTGCTTTGACACACCAGCTGACCAGGGGAAGATTTCTCAGCTGTTTGGATGACACAGACAAGCCACTCATTTATTACGACGAGAGGAATATTAAATTTCCCCACACAACCTCTCTTTAAACAATCAGTATAACTATTTCCAAATAACTTAGCAAATGTATACTAATGAATACTTTCATGGTTTCAGTATCTTGGGAAATGCCAAATCTGAGAGAGACAGAGCTTGCACCACATACCAATCAACGTAACTTTACATGCAACTATTGGCCTGACATCAGCGGCAAACTAAAACAGAGTGTATCTTAAACTAGGCAGATTTCACATTGCTTGTAACTTACTAAACATGCAATTTGATGGAGTCAAACGGGCAATGTATTGCATTCCCTTTAAAATATACCCCATGGAATTGTAGCAGCTTCATCTTCCAGATACTGTTCTAGGCTTCCATCCAGTTGAGTGTTAAGATATATTTAATAGTGCAATGCACATTTCCAGCTCCTCCTTTTAATTCAAAGTCACTTAATTCCAACCGAAGGGTCTGATTCCACGCTGTATGACAATGACTCTAATTCAAAATACTGCAGAATACAAACTCTTCCGATTATATTCCACTTTGGTGCATGACTTACTCTATTTAATTCTTTTTTTTTTCAGCAAAAAAAGGGTTGCTTCTACTCAGGAGTAGACTTTATTATTCATCAGCTGCACACCATTCTAAGATTATTTCCTGCTTATGTACCCACGCTATCAAGCGATTGTTTGTTGATGACACAATTCACTGGAATATTTTGATAATTTGTTTTATTATACCCCAAAGTTCAAAGCTGTCCCACAGCTCAGAACAAAGAGGATCACCATAGTATTGCCAAATAAATTACCTCAATCAGACATTCAACGCAAGGGCTCTTGTGGCACATTGGCAGTGCCCCTACCACATGCAACATCAGCTCAACAGTTTCCCAGGGCTGTCACCTTACAGCTCTCTCTCTCACTCTCTCCCCATGTCTGGTACATGACAATAACATTGTTCACAGCTATCACTACATTCAAACATAGTCAGTAACAAATCCAACATGCAATTTGAGAGAAACTTCCTCACTCAGAGAGATGAAAACAGGGAACTTGCTACCACAGTTGAGAGAGATGTCAGAGGGTACATTTAAGCTAGATGAAGAGATGAGGGAGAAAGCAAAACAATATTGATCAGGTTTGATGAAATGAAATAACAGGTGGGGGGGGGGGTGAAGAAGAGAACTCATGTGACAAATGAACACCAACACGGATAATTTGGAACAAATTGTATCTTTCCAAGATTCTGTGCAGTTTTAACTTTGTACCAGAGTTTTTGAAGCTTCTGCTCTTGGTTCAGATCAACAGGTATTTAAGATAAAAATAAAGATTGAACCGGAGTCCAAATTTATTCTGGAAAGTTTGCTGACTTTTGTTCCTGACAATTTATTTTATTCAAAATCAAACACTTTAGCCATGACAAAAGGTTGTTGGTCACATCAAGAAGTTTCAGAAGGGCCAATCAACAGGCAGGCAAACAAGATTCAGAAGTCACAACAAAAACAGAAGTTGCTGGAAAAGTTCAGCAGGTCTGGCAGCATCTGTGAAGAAAAACCAGGTGTAATGTTTCAGGTCCAGTGACGCTTCCTCAAAACTACCAGACCTGCTGAGCTTTTCCAGCAACTTGTTTTTGTTCCTGATTTACAGCGTCCACAGTTCTTTCGTTTTTATTTCAGATTCAGAAGTAGTGGAGGTCATTAATTTGACAGTAATCTGCTCATCAAATTACACCCACTAACCAGGCAAAGAGAAAAATGCCAAGAAAATGAATGACAATGTCCAATGAAACTTAGCCCAGACTCAACTGCAGATCACATCTGTTTTGAGGACATCTTCCTCCCTTTCCCCCCAACTCCCTCACTGAATACTTATTATAAAGCGCCACGTCTTTCTACGCTCTTGGGAAAACTGCATGAGTTTCAGTGCAAAGAAACGGGACAGCCACCAGGAAGAGGTTCCCGTCAGTGAACTGAGTGACTGGATTCCTCATAGCTACACAAAACATGTTTGTCCTCCCAGTGCTAGAAACGACCAGCAAGGGGTTACGGTTTGGAGGGGAACCAGGGGCGGCCTGCACAGCAACATCTTCCTCAATGCATCACAACTTGTGTACCATCTCAGGGGTCCTCCCCAGGCAGCTAAGCAGTGGGATTTGGGCTGACTGTCACACGGGAAGGAGCAGTGTAACTCCCAGACTGAAACAGCAGCCGGAACCAGCTTCCCTACAAAGGTTCGGACAGTGAATGTATTGGAGCTGTCAGAGACTCTTGCAGAGAGAGAGAGGGGAAAAAAAGCACGACCGGCTTTCCTGGGCGGGGGCATCGATTCTACACACTTACTCCCAATTGTCACATCTTAGCAATGGTCCAAATGCACATCCCTGAGTGCTGAGTGCTAACACTGTCCCTGTGTTTGTTTCATTTTGCTTCCAATAAAGATAATCACTTTGCTGATTTTTTTTCTGTCCACGTTATTTGCTGCATTTACTCCCAGCTCCTCCTACTCCTCATTCCCCGGAAAGCTGTTAGAGAGAGAGAGAGCGAGGGGAAGACGGGGTTGAACGTTAGGAACTCCCCTGGTGCAGACAGGAGGCTGTTTTGTTTTGGGAGGGGGCAGCGTGAACATTAATGACTCCTGCCGACAGTGAAAGGTGGGGGGGGAGGAGGGAGTGTGTTAAGCCCTCACCTTGTAGCATCGCCTCCAGCTTCTTACGGTCCACCCTGAACCTCTCCTCTAGCCAGTCCGGGTCAGTGGAGTGCGGGAGGGTCTGGCTATCGTCCTCAGAGGCGGCTAGCGGGGAGTCGGTACTTCTCTCGCTGTTGGAGCCGGGGTCGGTGGCTCCGGGCTCTGGCAGCGGCTGAGCTTGCAGCAGGTATCCGGCCAGGGAATCACACTGAGCGGCCATGGCTCCGAGAGAGGAGAGGCACCAGTAGCAACAGTCACTTTCCCTTCTGGCTGGGAAAGGGAGGGGGTTGAGTGGGGGGTTGGACTTGGGGCTGGGACTCCACATCTCAACTTCTCATGCACAGCCAAACCCTGCTCTGCAAAATCCATCCGCACCATTGCACCCAAAGTAGTCCCATTGCAACTTAATCAGTAAAACCTATTAGAACAGACGTTTCCTCGCAAGCAGGCTCAGTATTTCAGTTGTGGCAGAAATTGGACAAACATTAACCCCTTGGAATTAAATTCCACTCAAGGAAATCAAACACACTCATTTGTATATATCAACGTTTCACTAGTTAATTCCTACCGTTTATATTTCAGATCCAAACGAAAATAAACAGCGAGTTTTTTTTTCAATTCAGGAGTTGTCAAGGTTGCAAGCGTGCACTCTCAGGTCAGAATGTTTTAATTGAGTTCTGAAGGGTCGCTCGACCCGAAACGTTAACTCCCATTTCTCTCTGCAGATGCTGCCAGACCCGCTGAGCTTTCCCAGCAATTTCTGTTTTTGTTTCTGACTTCCAGCATCGGCAGTTCTTTCGGTTTTTATTTCCCCAACTCTTCCCCCGCAGTTGTAACCCCAAGAATCCAGGGCTGCTAAAATGCCCAGTTTTCCTCGTTCTCAGTCCAGATAATTTGTTTGATTTTATTGTCAAATTATAGGCCGGCTGTCCTGGAGAATATCAATGACAAAGTGTCTGCATACTTTGCTTTATCAACATTTTAGATTTGAAAGCTATTGTAAAGGAAACTTTTCACCTCTTGATGAGAGAGTGTGACAGGCAGTTTTCATTCCATCAATAGAGAGAGAGATTCATACACCTCCTACAACCTCAGTGCATCTAGAACGCTACCCATCAAATGAAGTACTTCTAAACAACAGCATATGGCCCCTTTAACATAATAAAACAAACTCACAGAATATGACACTGGGGAAGATAAGGTCAGACATTCCAAACACATGGTACATCTTAAGATAGTTTTAAATCAGGTGTGTTTGTGGAGAGAGAATTCCAGCATTTAGAATCCCTACAGTGTGGAAGCAGGCCATTCAGCCCATCAAATCCACACCACCCCTCCAAAGAGAATCCCACCCAGACCCACACGCCTACCCTATCCCTGTAACCATGCATTTCCCATGGCTAACCCACCTAACCTGTACATTACAGACAATTTAAGCATAGCCAATCCACTTAACCTGCACAGAGAATCATAGAATCCCTGCAGTGTGGAAACAGGCCATTCGGCCCAACAAGTACACACCACCCTCTGAAGAGCATCCCACCCAAACCCACTCCCCTATACCTGCATTTCCCCATGTCTAACCCACCTAACCTAAACATCCCTGGGCACTATGGGCAATTTAGCATGGCCAGTCCACCTACCCCGCACATCTTTGGACTGTGCAAGAAAACCAGAGGAAATCCACACAGACACAAGGAGAATGTGCAAACTCCACACAGACAGTTGCCTGAGGCTGAAATTGAACCTGGGTTTGCTGGCACCATGAGGCAGTAGTGCTGACCACTGAGCCACCATGCCACCCCAAATTAGTGCCTTAGTCAGTGACTTAACTCAGGGAGGCTTAAGAGGTCACAATTAAAGGAGGGCAGATATTTGAAAAGGTACCTGGAAGAGATTATAGGGACAAAAGGGGATTTGAAAATAAAGTGTTGTTGAACTGGAAGCTAGATCAGAGAGCACCGGATGCCAGGTGAATAGGGATTTGATGAACATTAGATTCAGGCAACAGAGTTTTGGAATGATCTCAAGTTTGTGGAGCTTAGAGCATAGGATATCAGCCAGGAGTGTGTTACAATATCTCATTTTCTGTTTTGTCTTAAAGAACTCCTGTGACCTGCTTTGGGATATATTATAAAGTCAAATGCACCATATAAATACACGTTGTTGTTCTTGCTGTTGACTTCTTCCTAATTTTATCTGCTTTAGAAGCAAATGGCTTGGCTGCTATGAACCAAGTTGACATGACTGTACAAGACTAAGGGAAGTTAAAATCCATTCAGGTGGACATAAAAGATGCCATAGCATTTTTGAAAGAAAAGCAGAGAAGTTCTCTGGCCAAAAATTATTCCTCAAACTAAGTCACTAAAAATAGGTGATAGTGTTCATTGTTTGTGGGGTTTTGCTGTGAACGGATTTGTTCCTGAATGTACCTCCAGAACAACAGTGACAACTTCAAGAAGTCTTAACAGAAAATGCTGAAGAAACTCAACAGGTCTGGCAGCATCTGTAGAAAGACAAACAGAGTTAACTTTTCCAGTCCAGGATGGTTTCCTATTCCTACCCCAATGTATACTCCAAAGAATATAATTTCCAAATGAAAATTACACTTTAAACAGTCAGCAATTCTGATAAAGAACACCACAATACATACCTATAAACTTACTCATCCTATCTTCTAATGTCTTCAATCACCTTTTCTAACATGGGATGCTCTCCCCTAAAATCCCAGGGCTTCCCAAAGCTCAGTGTTGCATTCACTCATTCCTGTAGCATTGTGTAATATTAGTTGTCTGTATCCAACTTCTGGTCCATCTTCAGTCTCAGCTAAGAAATACAATTGAAGAAATGGGCCATGACAGAAAGAGTAGAAAACATTCAGAAAAACAGGTAAGAAAAAGAGTGAAAGATAAACTGGGAAACAGATGTAGGTAAACAAAAACATCTTTATTTTGTTTTATTTCATTAGTAAGCTGTGTCAAAAAATCTCATGTTAACTTGACCAAAATAAAATGAGGAACAAATGCAAAGTTCTTTATAGTACAGAATTGGAGTATTGGTGAAAAATACTTTTGTTGAAGCTTTTCATCTTGCAACCGTCATGACAATTTACAAGAATACCACAGTAAAGGGATAATAACATTTATACTTTATGAGAAAGGAGTGCTGAAGAATGCACTGGTTAATGATGAGTAGCAGTGAACTGCCAAGTTATGCTTACATTTTAAACAATACAAGTTGACTCTGATTGGTCAAGGCATGCCCTGAGAAAACAAAAACTTCACAAAGTGTTTCTTTCTTTAGCAATGTTCAAATCTAAAAGTACTTTAAGACATTTTATATGCCAGGCACTGTATGAAGCTAACTATGATTTTTAGGGCATTAAATCATTAAGCATTTCTGAATTCAGGTTTTGAACATTGAAAGGAAAAGTTTTGTGCTCAAAACCCACTCTACATCTCCTACATATGTTGTCAGGTGAAACAACAGGGCAAAGATTGAGAGAAAATTTTTAGGTAAGAGATTAAATTCTGTTCAATTGGATATTGAATCTATTCCAATAGTGTTAAGAGTTAACTAAGTAGCCTGTTAACATTTCCCTTTAACCGACAACATTGTCAGACTAGCATCACTTACTTGATACGCTATTTGCGAAAATTTCTGTTTATTTTTTAATTCATAGGATTGTCCATCCCTGATTAACCTTGCAAAGTGATTGCTAACCTTCTTCTTAATTGCAGCGGTCCATGTTATGTAGGTGCACATAAAAGCTGTTAAGAAGGGAGTTCCAGAATTTTGATCTAATGATCGGGAAAGCACAGTGACAAGTAGATGGTACACACTGCTAGCAGAGAAGTTTAAAAGATGTGAGTGGGATGCTGATCAATGAGCTATTTCACCTTGGAAAGTTTTGAGGTTCTTGAGTGTTGACTTATCTGCAACAACACAGTCAAGTAGCAAGTATTCCATCACATTCCTGACATGTGCATTGTCAGTGGTGGACAAGAGTCAGGAAGTTGAGTTATCTGTTGGAGAATACCTAGTTTCGGATGTGATTTTGTAGCCACTGTGTTGACGTGGCTGATTTGATGAAGTTTCTGCTCAGTGGTGATCCTCAGAATGCTGTTCATGGGAATGCAGCAAGTGTAAAGCCATTGAATATAAGGATCTTTGCCTCTCGCTTCTGTGGCTAGAATCTCACTGCCACTTTACAGAATCAAAAAAATGTATGGCTCAGAGGGATGTCCTTTGGCCATTTGATGTCCTTGCTGGATAAAAGTTATCTGTCCATACTCATTGCACTTTCCAGCTCTTGATACGTAACCTTGTATTATAAGGAATTTCTGTAGTCATTGTAACAAGGTCAGCCAGGTGGACCTCATAGAATATGAGTTCCCTGATTGGGGCTGTTAATCTGGTCCCACCAGGAAGCCCTGGCTGACAGATAAGAACAGGAGTGTCAGACTCTGGGGAGTTATTTCAGTGGTAATGAGAAAAAAGCACGCTCTTGAAGCAATTCAGTCACAACACCCATCTTTGAGTTGGGGTAAGCATTTCTGGCATCATACTGTTATTTCGGAAGTTTGACTCATTCAATCCTGCCGTTGAAGACTGGGCCCAGTGTGTGTGGAAAGAATGCTTTACTTTTTCCAAGAAAATGACATTGGGGCTGATGAAGAGCATTGAGTAATTCTCCTGACAGCTTGAGGATTGCAGCTTTTTCGGTTATTAGGAGACTAATTTTCCCTGTGGCACCAAATACTAAAACCTTTCAAGAGTTGACAGATTTAGTTAAGGAATATTATGACCCTAAGTCTCCTCTAATTCTTGAGATTCTATCGGTTTTACTCAGCAATTCGAGAACCAGGGGAATCCACATAAGGATTTTTGATTACATTTACACAATCGACAGAGGCATGTGACTTTAGTTTAATCCTTAATGAGATGCCGAGAGATGGTTTGATGTGTGGGATTGATGATCTAACCATGCAAAAGTGCCTACCAGCTGATGACCAACTGGACTTCAAACAGCACTGCAATTGGCTTTGTTGTTAGAGAATACAGCAAATAGAGCATGTGACTTATAGGGTATTCCAATGGAGGTGGACATCCTTACCAGTCCAACTGAGCTTGAGGAACTCCACTAAAGTAAGGCAATTGCATAGTCTCAATCAACATATATCCTGAACAGAAGGACTCTAGGTCAGCCCACAGCTAAACCCCAAAATAAAACCAAGCCTCGGCCAAACAGTTAACATTTTATGCAGGATCTGAGGTGGTAAGCCATTGT